ATTACTTATTACCAAATTTCTTTCTACACATAGCTCAATTAAAGGCTCCCATTTACATTTACCCCTGGCACCCCAAATTTACCTACTACTCCCTCCATAACATTTTTACCCACTTTAGCATTGAAATCCCCAACCAAATATATATTATATATATTATATATATATATATATATATATATATATATATAATATATATATATATATATATATATATATATATATATATATATATATATATATATATATATATATTATATATATATATATATATATATATATATATATATATATATATATATATATATATATATATATATATATATATATATATATATATATTATATATATATATATATATATATATATATATATATATATATATATATATATATATATTATATATATATATATATATATATATATATATATATATATATATATATATATAATATTATATATATATATATATTTTTTTTTTTTTTTTCAACAAGTCGGCCTCCTCCCACCGAGGCAGGGTGACCCAAAAAAGAAAGAAAATCCCCAAAAAAGAAAATACTTTCATCATCATTCAACACTTTCACCACACTCACACATTATCACTGCTTTTGCAGAGGTTCTCAGAAATACAACAGTTTAGAAGCATATACGTATAAAGATACACAACATATCCCTCCAAACTGCCAGTATCCCAAACCCCTCCTTTAAAGCGCAGGCATTGTACTTCCCATTTCCAGGACTCAAGTCCGACTATATGAAAATAACCGGTTTCCCTGAATCCCTTCACTAAATATTACCCTGCTCACACTCCAACAGATCGTCAGGTCCCAAATACCATTTGTCTCCATTCACTCCTATCGAACATGGTCACACACGCCTGCTGGAAGTCCAAGCCCCTTGCCCACAAAACCTCCCTTACCCCCTCTCTCCAACCCTTTCGAGGACGACCCCTACCCTGCCTTCCTTCCCCTACAGATTTAAATGCTCTCCATGTCATTCTTCTTTGATCCATTCTCTCTCTAAATGACCAAACCACCTCAACAACCCCTCTTCAGCCCTCTGACTAATACTTTTATTAACTCCACACCTCCTAATTTCCACACTCCGAATTTTCTGCATAATATTTACACCACACATTGCCCTTAGACAGGACATCTCTACTGCCTCCAACCGTCTCCTCGCTGCTGCATTCACAACCCAAGCTTCACACCCATATAAGAGTGTTGGTACTACTATACTTTCATACATTCCCTTCTTTGCCTCCATAGATAAAATTTTTTGACTCCACATATACCTCAACACACCACTCACCTTTTTTCCTTCATCAATTCTATGATTAACCTCATCTTTCATAAATCCATCCGCCGACACGTCAACTCCCAAGTATCTGAAAACATTCACTTCTTCCATACTCCTCCTCCCCAATTTGATATTAAATTTTTCTTTATCTAAATCATTTGATACCCTCATCACCTTACTCTTTTCTATTTTCACTTCCAACTTTCTACCTTTACACACACTCCCAAACTCATCCACTAACCTTTGCAATTTTTGTTTATAATCTCCCATAAGCACAGTATCATCAGAAAAAAGCAACTGTGTCAATTCCCATTTTGTATTTGATTCCCCATAATTTAATCCCACCCCTCTCCCGAAAACTCCATCTCTAAATATATTAAACAACCCTGGTGACATTACACATCACTGTCTAAGACCTACTTTTACTTTTTACTTTTGCTAGAACACATATGCACTACAATAGAGAAAAAAGAAGTCCCATTGGGGATCTTCACTGACTTACGTAAAGCTTTTGATGCAGTTGACAACGACTTGCTCCATATAAAATTGCCGCACTATGGTATAAGAGGGCACTCCCTCAACTACCTAAAGTCTTAACCTCAGCAACAGAAGCCAATATGTGTACACAAATGGGGCAAACTCTTCTGCACAGCCAATTACAGTTGGTGTCCCACAGGGAAGTGTCCTAGGCTCTCTTCTCTTTCTCATATACATAAATTACCTACCAAATGCATCGCAACTACTCAAACCCACACTATTTGCAGATGACACTACATATGTCTTCTCTCACCCGAGCCCAGTCATGCTAGCCAATACTGTAAATACCGAATTACAGAAAATATCTACCTGGATGAGTTCTAACAAACTTACTCTAAACATTGACAAAATCTACTTCATTTAGTTTGGTAACAGAGCTACAGACATCCCTCTTAACATAATGATAAACGGTTCACCTATCACAAAACTCACAGAGGGAAAATTCTTAGGAATCCACCTTGATAATAGACTCAAATTTCAAACACATATACAACAAATTTCCAAAAAAATTTTCAAAACCGTAGGCATACTATCGAAAATACGGTACTATGTTCCACAGTAAGCCCTCCAGGCCCTATATCACTCACTTATTTACCCCTGTCTCACCTATGGAATTTGTGCATGGGGCTCAACAACAATAAACCATCTCAGACCATTAATTACCCAACAAAAGGCTGCAGTCAGAATGATAACAAATTCCCACTACAGACAGCACACTCCACCAATATTCAAAACTCTAAACCTACTCACCATACAAAACATCCATACTTGTTACTGCACCTACTACATTCATAAAACACTTAACTCTGATATAAATCCTCCCCTCAAACATCTCCTTGCCAACCTCAACAGAACACATGACCATAACACAAGGCATAGATCACTCTTTGATGTTCCTCGTGTCCATCTCATGCTATGCAAAAACTCAATGCACATAAAAGGCCCTAAAATCTGGAATTCATTACCTGTGAATATAAAAGAAACACTGTTTATAAATTCAAGTCTCTTCTCAAAAATCACTTACACACCCACATCTAAATAAATACTGAATAATTGTATCTCATAAATTGTATCTCATAAATGTTTCTCATTATTGTATCTCATAAATGTCAACCTGTGACCCAATCAAACTTTGTTACTATTTAACTTCATTACCTAACAGAATACTCCATTCTACTGATTACACAGCAACACAGTAAATGACCATATGACCTGTCTTTGTAATACTCATTTGTGCTAAATTGTTATCTGTTTACAATAATGTTTTTACCACTGAATATATCAATGCTTAGTTAATCTTTAGTTAATTTTAAGCCTGCCTGTAATGCTCTGCATACAAGGGGCTTTGGCATGTTACACTTAACCACTGTATTTCCTTGTACTTCTATGTATCATGTTCAAATTAATAAATAAATAAATAAATAAGTAGTCTCCCTCTCTTCTACACACCCTAACTTGAGCCTCACTATTCTCATAAAAACTTTTTACAGCATTTAGTAACTTATCACCTATTCCATATACTTGCAACATCTGCCACATTGCTCCTCTATCCACTCTATCATATGCCTCTTCCAAATCCATAAATGCAATAAAAACTTCCCTACCTTTATCTAAATACTGTTCACATATATGCTTCAATGTAAACACTTGATTTACACATCCCCTACCCACTCTGAAACCTCCTTGCTCATCTGCAATCCTACATTCTGTCTTACCTCTAATTCTTTCAGTTATAACCCTACCGTGCACTTTTCCTGGTATACTCAGTAAACTTATTCCTCTATAATTTTTACAATCTCTTTTGTCCCCTTTCCCTTTATATAAAGGGACTACACATGCTCTCCGCCAATCTCTAGGTACCTTCCCCTCTTTCATACATTTATTAAACAAAAATACCAACCACTCCAACACTATATCCCCCCCTGCTTTTACCATTTCTGTCATGATCCCATCAGGTCCAGCTGCTTTACCCCCTTTCATTCTACGTAATGCCTCACGCACCTCCCCCACACTCACATCCTGTTCTTCTTCACTCCTAAAAGATGGTATACCTCCCTGTCCAGTGCATGAAATTACTGCCTCCCTTTCTTCGTCGACATTTAAAAGTTCCTCAGAATATTCTCGCCATCTACCCAAAAGCTCCATCTCACCATCTACTAACTCCCCTACTCTGTTTTTAACTGACAAATCCATTTGTTTCCTAGGCTTTCTTAACTTGTTTAACTCACTCCAAAATTTTTTCTTATTTTCATTAAAATTTCTTGACAGTGCCTCTCCCACTCTATCATCTGCTCTCCTTTTGCACTCTCTCACCACTCTCTTCACCTTTCTTTTACTCTCCATGTACTCTACTCTTCTTATAACACTTCTGCTTTGTAAAAATCTCTCATAAGCTAACCTTTTCTCTTTTATCACATCCTTTACTTCATCATTCCACCAGGTAGTAGGTTGGTAGACAGCAACCGCCCAGGGAGGTACTACTGTCCTGCCAAGTGAGTGTAAAATGAAAGCCTGTAATTGTTTTACATGATGGTGGGATTGCTGGTGCCCTTTTTTTCTGTCTCATAAACATGCAAGATTTCAGGTACGTCTTGCTACTTCTACTTACACTTAGATCACACTACACATACATGTACAAGCATATATATATACACACCCCTCTGGGTTTTCTGCTATTTTCTTTCTAGTTCTTGTTCTGGTTTATTTCCTCTTATCTCCATGGGGAAGTGGAACAGAATTCTTCCTCCGTAAGCTATGCGTGTTGAAAGAGGCGACTAAGATGCAAGGGGCTAGTAACCCCTTCTCCTGTATAAATTACTAAATTTAAAAAGAGAAACTTTTGTTTTTCTTTTTGGGCCACCCTGCCTTGGTGGGATATGGCTGATTTTTAAAAAAAAAAAAAAAATAGATATATATATATACTGTATCTTTCTTTCAACAAACCAGCCGTATCCCACCGAGGCAGGGTGGCCGAAAAAGAAAAACAAGATTTTCTCTTTTTAAATTTAGTAATTTATACAAGAGGTGGGGTTACTAGCCCTTTCCCCTGGCATTTTAGTCACCTCTTACAACACACATTGGCTTATGTATTTATTTATTTATTTATTTTTGTAAATGAAAAAATGCATAGTAATTGCAAATCTAATGAACACGTTTATCATCTACAGGATGAACTAGCCCGAGTGTTTGTTACCCTGTTTGATGCCAAGCACCTGCTGTCCCCGCTGCTGTGGAACATGTTTTATAAGGAGGTCGAAGTATCAGACTGTATGCAGACTTTATTCAGAGGGAACTCACTGGGCAGCAAAATTATGTCTTTCTGTTTCAAGGTTGGTACTTGGAAATGACACTTAACAAGATTATTGCAATCACATCTAAACCCCTTTTGGTGTTAATTACAAACAGTTCCAGCCATGGTATCGGGATATTTATTCTGTATTCTCTTTATTATTCATAAGTTTAGCAAATTCACTTACAGCTTAGAAATGTAGATGTAATATAAGACTGCTTAATGTAAGGCTTAATTTTTCTCTCTAAATTAAATCCTTATTCACTAGCTCACAGGAGACTTTGTTGTTCCTGGTTGTAATATAATAATTGCATTATTATTGAAAGAATTAATGGAAAGACAGAGGGGATGATCACAGATGACCAAGGAGGCTTTACGAAGGTTAGGGGGTGTGTAGAGTGAGTGTTGACAATAAAACATTTAAATGAATAGTATAAAGATATGGGTAAAGAGGTTTTTGTTGCATTTATGGATTTGAAAAAGGTGTATGATTGGGTAGATAGAGGGGCAGTGTGGCAGATGTTTCAGATGTATGGAATAGGAGGCAGGTTACTGAAGGCAGTGAAGAGTTTTTATAAGGATAGGGAGGCTCATGGTAGAGCATGTAGGAGAGAGGGAGATTATTTCCCAGTAAAAATAGGCCTCAGATAGGGATGTATAATGTCACCATGGTTGTTAACCCTTAAATGGTCCAAACGTATATATACGTTTTTTCAACATCTGAAAGTATGTAAAAAAATGTAGGTCTTCTTTTTTGTTTTACATTTGAAAACGTGTAAAAAAAACTTATCTACATTTTTTTGTTATATTTGAAAATATGTAAAAAAAAGTAGATCTACTTTTGTAGCACTACGAATTTGATCGTCAATCTCTTTGGACCATTTAAGGGTTAAGTATATTTATAGGTGGTGTTGTAAGAGAAGTGAATGCTTGGGTGTTGGCAACAGGTTTGGGATTAAATGATGAAGAATCTAACACAAAGTGGAAGATGTCACAGTTGCTTTTTTCTGATGACACTGCTTTTGGGAGATTCTGAAGAGAAGTTGCAGAGATTGGTGACCGAGTTTGGAAGGGTGTGTAAAAGAAGAAAATTAAAAGTGAATACAGTGGACCCTCGTTTTTCGTAATTAATCCGTTCCAGAAAGTGTGACTATTATCGAAGTTGACGATTTGCGAAACCATTTTCCCCATAAGAAATAATGTAAATACAATTAATCCATTCCAGGCACCCAGAAGTATTAAAACAAAAATTTTTTTTACATGAAATATAGATGTACATACACAGAAAACAATGAGACATGATGATTGAAATTTTTTTTTTTTTTCAACAAGTCGGCTGTCTCCCACCGAGGCAGGGTGACCCAAAAAAGAAAGAAAATCCCCAAAAAGAAAATGCTTTCATCATCATTCAACACTTTCACCACACTCACACATTATCACTGTTTTTGCAGAGGTGCTCAGAATACAACAGTTTAGAAGCATATACGTATAAAGATACACAACATATCCCTCCAAACTGCCAATATCCCAAACCCCTCCTTTAAAGTGCAGGCATTGTACTTCCCATTTCCAGGACTCAAGCCCGACTATATGAAACATTAACAGCATATCAGTTACCTTTATTAGCAGTTCTTCTCAGTGTATAGAAGACTGGAGGAGGGGAGAGATTGGATTATTTACTGTTTGGAAGGGGAATCCCCTTCTATAAAGACTTCAGGTACCAAGTTCTTTTCTGGGGTTACTTCCCTTCTTTGTTTTTTTTTATGTCCCTAGGACCAACTTGAGAGTCACTGCACACCTGTGGCACTAAATACTTGTCCAGAGAGCTTTGTTTCTGGCGTCTCTTTAACCCTTTCAGGGTCGCCAGGCGCTCTCCGAGACTTGTTCTCAGGGTTGGCCAAATTAAAAAAAAAAAAAAATGTTTTTTCTTATGAAATGATAATCTTTTCCCGATCATAATGACACAAAAAGTATGAAATTTGATGGAAAACTTAGGGAATTATGCTCTTGCGAAGTTAGCAGTCTCGATGATGTTTACGCATCGGCGATTTTGCCCACTATGAGCTCTATTTTCAGCTAGTTCCAGTGTACTAGTCGACAAATATAACTATTTCGCTAGAACTCCATTTTTTCTATGGAATGAGTACAAGAAACCACCCATTTACCAATTTCAACTATCCAATAAGGTGGTCAGAATTTAGCAATTTTGCCAATTTCACACAAACTTCAAAAGATGCCAGTTTCCGAATAGGGTCCAGAATAAACAAGAAAGACATTCCTGGCACTAAAATAACAAGTTCTCTGTTCGTTAGTCACATCCCCAGGCCCCTTTTATGTTTCTTTGGCTTTCCACTTTGAATTTTTATTCTTACAAAATATAGAAGATTTACTGTTAGGCAGACTACTGCATTAGTGTAGAAATGGTATAAATAATATCAGCGCACTTGTGAAAGAATATTAGACTCACCAGTTGACGTGTATTGGATGCTTAGCATGATTTGTTTACTTTTGAACTTTGGTAAAAATCGAACATTTCTGCTACTTCGAGCTCAATTTCAAGGTACTTTTCATTGTAAAACCAGTCAAAATCATCTCAATTTCTGTAATACGTCTTCCATTCTATAAATTGTGACCAGGAAAACTAGAATGCAACCATAAATACTATACGAAAATGCAGTGCAAAGTCGCTGTTTTTATCCAAAAACACGATCAAAGTTTTTTTTTCTCATTACGCACTGTGTGCTGCAGGATTTTTTTTATACTGGTCACACTGACCACATAGACCCATTATTTCATATGTAGGCCTACCAGGTTTCTCTCGCTAGATTTGAGGACGCTAGAATTTAGGCGTACTAGTACGTCAAAAACCCTGGGGTGTAAGCCGTACTAGTGCGGCCGAAACCCTGAAAGGGTTATAACCTCCCTAAAATGGCCCAAGACTTAGTCACTGTACATGTTGCCAACATGGCTTGCAACAGCTTTGTCAGGGTGATGTTTCTCCACAAATCTTTCCATCCTACTCCACATTTCAAAAATCTCCTTAACCCTTAAACGGTCCAAACGTATCTATACGTTCACTCGCATAGCGCCCGAAATTTTTTGAGAGAAAAAAAAAAACTTTTTTTTTTTAAAGGAAAAAAGAGCATATGGTACCCAGGCATCCCCAATTATTTTAATATGGCACACAGTGAGTGCGCACACCCATTCTCTCGTGTGTAGGTGACTCAGGCTTATTGTGGCAATGTTGAATGAATGACAAAGAAAACGTATATATACGTTTGGGGCGCTACGCGTGTGAACGTATATATACGTTTGGACCGTTTAAGGGTTAATTTATCAATGTGTTGGTTCTCTGAACCATTCATCTTCAATTCTTAATTTCTGAAGAAGACACCTTCTTCCATCTCTCTTCCTCCTCCTCTGAAGCAGTATTCTGAGCTGCGGTCTCTTGCTGTTCCAGCTGAAGCTCTTGCAGCTCGTCAGTGGTTAGCTCTTCGTTGTGGTCCTCCACCAACTCTTCCACATCCTCCAAATTCACATCCAACCCAATGGAATTCCCCAATGCCACAATAGATTCCACAACTGCCATAGGCTCCTCAAGGTCAGCCCCGAACCCTTCAAAATCCCTCTTGTGGACACAATCTGGCCATATTTTTCTCCAAGCAAGAGTTCAAAGTCCTGGTAGTCACTCCCTCACAAGCCTTACCTGTAAGGCTTATGCAATGAAGGATACTGAAGTGATCTTTCCAAAAACTGTCTTAGAGTCAACTGACTGTCTGTGGTCACAGTAAAGCACCTTTGAAACATTGCTTTGGTGTAGAGTTTTTTAAAGTTTGAAATGATCTGCTGGTCTATGGGCTGGAGGAGAGGTGTGGTATTAGGGGGCAAGAACTTCACTGTGACGACCCCAAACTCCTCCAGAATTAGGTCATCCAAGTTTGGAGGATGAGCAGGTGCATTGTCTATTAGCAGGAGGCACTTGAGTTCCAATTTATTTTCCAGGAGGTAATTCTTCACACTGGGCCCAAACACTTCGTGGAACCAATCAAGGAAACTTTCCCTCATGACCCATGCCTTATTATTAGTTTTCCAAAACACACACAGTTTAATCTTCATGACATTGTTTTTCTTGAACACTGGGATTTTCAGAATGGCACACGAGTAACGGCTTCACTTTGAAATAACTACTAGCATTACTACAAAACATGAGAGTTAGCCTGTCTTTCGTAGGTTTGTGTCCTGGCAGTGCCTTTTCCTCCTGAGTAATATAGGCCCTCTGGCATTTTCTTCCAAAAGAGGCCTATTTTGTCACAATTGAACACCTGTTGGGGTTGTAATTGTTCAGTCTGTATGTACTCCTTGAATTCACTTAGGAATTTTGTAGCTGCATTTTTGTCAGAACTGGCAGCCTCACCATGCCTTGTCACACTGTGTATGCCACTACGGTTCTTAAATCTCTCAAACCAACCTTTGGTGGCCTTAAATTCACAAATATTAGTACTTGCTGCAGGCAATTTCTTTATGAGATCGTCATGCAACTGCCTAGGCTTTTCACAAATAAGTGACTGCATAAGACTACATGTATCTTCTGCTAATTGTTTCTTGTTGATCCGCACCAACAGTAATTTCTCAACATCTTTGAGTACTGGCGATGTCATTTTTGCCAGCATATTTAACCCCTCTGCAACAACAGCTTCCTTGATTTCCTTTTTCTTAGCCACAATGGAAGCTATGGTTGTACGGGTTTCTTATACATCCTGGCCAGTTCTGCCACACGTACGCCATTTTCATATTGTTCAATGATGTTTTTCTTGAATTCAATCGTATTTTTCACCTTTACCACAGGCATTGGACAAGGAGCTTTCTTTGGAGCCTTGGTAGCTTATTTAGCAGTTGTAAGCACTAAAATGAATGGAATACATGTACATATTATGAAATATTTCGTATGAACACGTGAGGGGATGGTCACTCATTGGTAAACAGTGGCACACTGGCTAGGAATGGAGTGTGAGACAGCTCGGGGCTGTGCGTACGCGTCCAAGACAAACGACTATTTGTGAGTCAAACGACGATTCGCGAGTCAGTGTTTTGACGAAAAAAAGTTATGATTTCCCAAAATTACAACTTTTGAGCCTTACAAAAAATGAGGATCCACTGTATTGGAATGAGTAAGGTGATGAGGAATAACAAAAAAAATTAGGTAATGATAGATTGGATATCAGATTGGAAGGAGAGAGTATGGAAGAAGTAAATGTATTCCAATATTTGGGAGTGGCTTGTCAGTAGATGGGTCTATGAAAGATGAGGTGAACCATAGAATTGATGAAAGTAAAAAGGGGAGTAGTGCATTGAGGAGTCTGTGGAGACAAAGAACGTTATCCATGGAAGCAAAGAGGGGAATGTGTGAGAGTATAATTATACCAATGCTTTTATATGGGTGTGAAGCATGGGTGGTGAATGTTGCAGCAAGGAGAAGGCTGGAGGCAGTGGAGATGTTGCCTCTGAGGGCAGTGTCCAGTGTGAATATAATGCATAGACTCTATAGTTTGGAAATTAGGAGGAGGTGCTGGGTTACTAAAAGTATTATCCAGTGTGCTGAGGAGAGTTGTTGAGTTGGTTAAGACATTTAGAGAGGATTAAACAAAATAGAATGACTTAGAGAGCATATCAATCTGTAGTAGAGGGAAGGCAGGGTAGGAGTTGGCTTAGGAAAGGTTGGAGGGGGGGGGGTAAAGGAAGTTTTGTGTGCGAGGGGCTTGGACTTCCAGTAGGCATGCGTGAGTGTGTTAGATTGGAGCGAGTGGTTATGAATAGTTTTTATGACTTGATGTGCTGTTAGTGTGTGAGCAGGGTAACATTTATGAAGGGATTCAGGGAAATTGGCAAACCGGACTTGAGTCCTGGAGGTGAGAAGTATAGTGCCTGTGCTCTGAGGGAGGGGTGTTGATGTTGCAATTTGTTAACTGTAGTGTAAGTGCACCTCTGGCAAGACAGTGATGGAGTGAATGAAGATGAAAGTGTTTCTTCTTTTTTTGGGGTCACCCTGCCTTGGTGGGAAATGGTCAGTGTGTTAATAAAGAAAACAGTTTTAAATATACCAGACAAAGCATTTAGCAGATGAACAGTTAAGTGTGTTTTACTGGTATGTACCAGGTGAACAGTATTTATAGGTGTGTACTAAGTGAACATTGTGTATTGTTGTGTGCCAGATGGATAGTGCTTAATGGTGTGTACCTGCTCTATAGAGATTATGTAATGTTAATTTTTTTTTCAACACATCGTCCATCTCCCACTGACGCAGGGTTACCCAAGAAAGAAAGAAAAACACTTTCACCATCATTCACACACAATCATTGTCTTTGTAGAGGTACTCAGATATTACAGGTTAGTTGTCACTCCAAATGGCCAATATCCCAAACACCACCTTCAAAGTGCAGTCATTTTACTTCCCACCTCTAGATCTCAAGTCCGGCTAACTGGTTTCCCTGAATCCCTTCACAAAATATTACCCTGCTCACACTCCAGCAGCTTGTCAGGTCCCAAAAACCATTCATCTCCATTCTTCATAATATTCTTCATAATATGTCACCTATTTACAACTGTAATGGGTTCCTGATAATCATTCGTTACTCAGGCATTTAGAGGTTGGAAACTATTTCCTCACAGACACCTGTGTTATAATTGGCAATGCACTTCCAAGCCATAATACTCCTTTGATTATTTCACTTTTTTAACATGAAAAGTGAAAACATTGTATGGTATTCAGATGAGTAGTCCCTTCTCTTCCCTTTTCTTCCTTTTTCTCTTTTAATGTGTATTGAATTATGTACAGTAGTTGTGGTATTTAATCATACATTACAAAATTGAAATATTGAATCAAGTGATACCCTGTAATTTTAATACAGTGGTACCTCGAGTTATGAACTTAATTCATTCCAGAAGGCTGTTCGAGTGCCATTACCGAACGAATTTGTTCCCTTGAGGAATAATGTAAATTAGATTAGTCCATTTCAGACCCCCAAAAGTACACTTACAAAAGCACTTACAAAAATACACTTACATAATTGTTCGAGTTGGGAGCTGTTTGAGACTCGAGGTACCACTGTATATTATGTTTATTCCCAATGGAAATTGTTTACTCTTACTTTCTAGATCTACGGGGCTTCTTATCTGCATAATCTTTTAGAGCCATTGATACGGCCACTGATTGATGATTGTGTTCACTCCTATGAGGTTGATCCAGCAAGGCTTGATCCCACCGAGGATGTGGAAGAAAACAGAAGGAACCTTGTAGCTCTCACACAGAGAGTGTTTGGTGCTATAATTTGTTCCTCAGATAAGTATGTTCTACATAATTTTTATCTGAATTTACTTCTATTAGAAAATTTATTTCTCATGCATCATTTAAAATGAGTTTTGTTAATATTGTTTTATTTAGAAACATTTTAACATTATGTAATTTACAGTAGAGAAGTTGCATAATTGATTCTTAATGTTTTATGCTACTTTTTTTTCTTTCGTTTTTTTTGTACTCGAGTTCACATGATGACTTTTTAAACATGGTGAATAGAGAATTATCTGACAAATTAGAAAACGTATCTGTAAATTATCATCCATAAGTCAACCAGTCATAGAGCGAGGAATACACTTTGTCCTCAAAATCAAATTTTTACATAGATTCTATCACCTACGTGCTTTGGGGATGTGCTTTCAATTTCTCTCTCCCCCCAAAAATAATGTTTTACTTAAACCTGTTAGGATTTCTTCAGATTTGTTTAAACATTATTAGGTTTTTTGTGTTTAAAATTGGTCTTGTTAGGATGTGCACAAAAGGGAAAATGAAAGTTTCTCCTTTTAAATTTGATGATATATACAGAAGGGGTTATTAGACCCTTGGTCCTGACATTTTAGTTGCCTTTTACAACAGGCATAGCTTACAGAGGAAGAATTCTGTACCACTTTACCATGGAGATGAGAGGAAATAAACAAGAAGAACTAGTAAGAAAATAGAAGAAATCCCAGAGGGGTTTGTATATATATATACTTGTACATGCATATTAAATTATGGGGAATCAAATACAAAATGGGAAGTGACACAGTTACTTTTTGTTGATGATACTGTGCTTATGGGGGATTCTAAAGAAAAATTGCAAAGGTTAGTGGTTGAGTTTGGGAATGTGTGTAAAGGTAGAAAGTTGAAAGTGAACATAGAAAAGGGTAAGGTGATGAGGGTATCAAATGATTTAGATCAAGAAAAATTGGATATCAAATTGGGGAGGAGGAGTATGGAAGAAGTGAATGTTTTCAGATACTTGGGAGTTGACGTGTCGGCGGATGGATTTATGAAGGATGAGGTTAATCATAGAATTGATGAAGGAAAAAAGGTGAGTGGTGCGTTGAGGTATATGTGGAGTCAAAAAACGTTATCTATGGAGGCAAAGAAGGGAATGTATGATAGTATAGTAGTACCAATACTCTTATATGGGTGTGAAGCTTGGGTTGTGAATGCAGCATAAATTATATAAATTACTAAATTTAAAAGAGAAACTTTCGGTTTTCTTTTTGGGCCACCCTGCCTTGGTGGGATATGGCCGGTGTGTTGAAAGAAAGAAGAAAGAATATACATATGGACAAGGAAAAAAAAACTTCCTACAGGGAGGGTAGAAAAAACATGTGGGGTGTGCTAAACATCGTGGTCAAAGGCATCGAAGGGCATCACTGCACGCCTTCCTGCATCTGGACAGATACTGCAACACAGGAGACATCGCTACGGCTGAGCTGTGACGTAACAGGGTACGGTCTCCTCTTGGACGGTGAAGCAGACATCGTAGGAGTCGCTGCAGGTTTCACTCAACCTGGGACACAACCTGCTGGTGCCCCTGAGTGAGGCGTCGTCAAAACTCGGCAACTGGGCAGAACTTCTGGCAGGCAACTCAGGAGGACACTTCTTAACTGGTACTGCCGCTGGGCTGTCACTGCCGGCGAGCGTGGAGTAAGTTGTGGAGCGAGTCGTGGCAGAGACGACTGGGCGAAACATCTGGGAGTCGTAACATCATACACCAGACTGCAGTGAGCGAGCTAACAGTCAAAGTGACATCTTTGTGCAGGCTGCTCACTGAAGCTTGTGACACGAGGCTGACACAGCGCCTGCCGACAGGGCTAACTGCAGCTTGACAAGTGTCATTCTCTTGGCAGTTGGAGTTATAGCAGAGGTTAGTCTAAGCGTCCCCTGACTTGTTTCTCTACATATAACTGCACTCTGAAGGTCTGGAGGTGAAGTGAAACAAATCTCGATGGGAATCATAGCAGGTACGATTCTGCAGAACATCTATGAGCGACGAGCATAAGAGCTTTCTGTACAAGGGGGCTCGGGCTCAGGCTGACTGATAACAGCTGTCAAACGTGCTGGTCACACCAGGTGACTTAACACAGTGGTGCTACTCAGGGGTCTGGCTCAAGACCACTGGACACACGGAAAACTTTACACACACCCGCGGTACATGAGGTACAACATGGCTTAACTAGTAAATGATGCTTTTCTGTGCACAAAATTGACACTAAGCCATACACTAACATGTGAGAACACTGACTGAGAAGAATTAATTAACACACGACATATATCTTCTCTCAGTCTTCTCGACAATACTGAAATAATTACTAGAACACTCGATGTGACATCATGTGATGTCAGGCGTGATGTCGCAAGGTGACGTCAGCAGCACTGTGATGTCAGCAGACATCTCGAGGTGACGTCAGGCAGACATCGTGACGTCATGAAGTCAGGCAGCAGCATCGGTGACGTCAGTGTGATGCGGGCAGCAGACCACAGCATGAGGCCTGGGACATCTGGCTTGGTAACCCACGTGGCTTGTAGATCCACGTGACATCGCCCACACCCCACGTGGCGTCGGGATCTACGTGGCATTCTGAGCCACGTGGCTTGCTGATCCACATGGCTTGCTGATCTATGTGGCTTGCTGATCCACATGGCTTGCTGATCTACATGGCTTAGTGATCTACGTGGCATGCTGATACACATGGCTTGCTGATCCATGTGGCTTCGAGTGGCCTCGGGCACTCGGATACACAGCACTGGCAATGACTTCATACGAAAAACAGCAGAAAACACAGCAGAGGGAGTGGGCAGTGGTGAGTGTATGGTAGGCTCGTGAGGTGTGAGTGTACAGCAGGGCGAGCGTGGGTGAGGCAAGGGACTGCCACTTCCTCCTCTCCCACAAACACGTGGAGAAACTCACACTGGACGCAGAAATCACCACAAAACTCACCTCTGGCTTGCTGAAATAGCTGTGCTGAGCTGAACAACAGCAGAACATACAAGTGATGCTCAACACGTGACCTGAGAAATAGCGTGGGCCGCTCTAGCATGGGGTCACTGGGACACCACTTACAATTCTCGAAGAAATTCGGCAAATTTCGGCTAGATCCTGCTTGTACCTGTGTCTGGATGCTGAAACGTGCAGACACAACATCAGGATAACTCGTTGAGAGACGGATGCTTGTTGTGTAGGGGGATGAAGTGAACAACTTCATTCCTTCCTTCCTCTCTCCGGGCAAACACAACTGCTGTGACCACCGCTTCCCACCAATGTGAAACAAGAATTATTTGGTGTAGCTGGTAGCGGGGCGGGTGAATGATAAATCTTCGGAGGCTTCTTTACTTTATTTGTAATGTAGTGGTGGGTACACAGGCTTGTGTGTTGTGCCCATGGCCCGGGTAGGGCCATGCCCATGAAAGGAGAGAGCTAGTAGGCCTTGTGTCCTCTGCTAGGCCACTGAGAGAGTGTGGGCCCAGCATCCCACTCACTTTGGGCTGGCCCAGAGGGCAGCACTTAAATGCCGTGAAATATGAACTAAGCTGGCAGACAGCATAGGCTGTCTGTGCAGACAGTACAGGCTGTCTACATATGCTTGTACATGTATGTGAAGTGTGACCTAAGTGTAAGTAGAAGTAGCAAGATGTACCTGAAATCTTGCATGTTTATGAGACAGAATAAAAAGACACCTGCAACCCTACCATCGTGTAAAACAATTACAGGCTTCCATTTTACACTCGATTGGCAGGACGGTGGTACCTCCCTGGGCGGTTCCTGTCTACCAACCTACTACCTATATTTCTTTTCAATATGCGAAAAACAAGGCAAATACCACATCTAGTATCGGGCCCTTGCTCAGACGAGATGGGACTTACACAGATGACAACAAAGAAATGAGTGAGATACTGAAATCCCAGTATGGCTCTGTGTTTAGCAAGCCACTAACCAGTCTAAAGATTGACAATCCAAATTATTTTTCATGAATGAGCCTCAAAACTCCATCAATGTATGCCATATTTCCGACATTACCCCAACTCCGATAGACTTTGAGAAAGCCATTGACAACATGCCCATGCACTCAGCCCCAGGCCCAGACTCGTGGAACTCTGTGTTCATTAAGAACTGCAAGAAACCCCCTTTCACGTGCCCTAAGCATACTATGGAGAAGGAGCTTAGACATGGGTGAAATTCCACAGTCACTAAAAACAACAGATATAGCCCCACTCCATAAAAGTGGCAGCTACACATTAGCTAAGAACTATAGACCAATAGCTCTAATGCCCCACATCATTAAAATGTTTGAAAGAGTGCTGCTAAGAAGCATGATTGCAAACCACTTGGATTCTCAAAAACTGCACAATCCAGGGCAACATGGGCTCAGAGCAGGTCGCTCCTGCCTCACACAACTACTGGATCACTGTGATATGGTCTTGGATGCACTGGATGAAAAACAGAATGCAGATGTAATATACACAGATTTTGAAAAAGCCTTTGACAAGTGTGGTCATGGCTTAATCCGTAAAAGTCCAAGCATATACGTTCAGTACCCCAGTGCCCCGAATAACTCGAAAAATAAAAAATCTTTTTTTTTTTTTTAATGAAAATAAAGAGCACATTGTTCTAAGTGTTACAGGATAAAAAAAAAATTAGGGTCAGTACTTAGAGATATGAGGCCAAGAAGTTGCACTGGATGCTCATGTGACAGCAACATCCAGTCCTGCTGCTTGCAGAAGTGTTGCCGATATACCTTTTTTCTATTTTTCATATTTTATATAATTTTTATGTTCTGATAATTACAATTTATAGTAGTTCTTGTCATTTCATAGCCAATCTTTGTTCTGACACTAGTATTATGTACTGAAAGTGTACTCAAACACACTGACAGGTGGACATATACACCTGCCTTGGTCATTTACTATTGTCTTGGAATATATACAAAGTATTTGTAGGTCCCAGCAATGTTTTGGATATGTGGAAGTATATAATAATAATAATGAGGAGGAGGA